TCTGACTTGTGTGGAGAACTGTTACCTTGCTTCATCCAACTCAACCAAAACCAACCAAACAGAACCAAGACCATCCAGCTAATCTATATGCATCCAATCATGGAAGGCTCATGTGGGTATATTTGTTTTATTCAATGCATTTCTAGTCTTCAGCATGACTTGGCTTTCTATTTTTTTTCCATCTTGGGAAAAAAAAAAAACTACCTCAGAGCAGTGTCAGGTGCTAGCTGATATAAGCCCTAATTTGTAATAATTGTAACAAAATTGAAAAAAATTGTTGTGACCAAACCAATTCAAGCCAATATTGTGTTAGAGAGCACTGTTCTTTCCTTTTAACCTTAATAAATGGAAAACCAAGTAATCACGACTGGTTGGATGCTTTAGTTGGTGACATTGCAGGGGACCAAATCTTTGTAATTGGGCGTGTCTTGTGAGTCATTCATTTTTTTTTTTAATTATTTTCTTTGAAGACCGAAGCAGCCCAGAACAATCTAGGACTTTTATCATAACTGAAATATATACCCATACAGGTGCCATCAGACGGGGCATTGCTGTTCACTCTGACAGGGTGTTCATATTCCAGTAAACGTTTGGAGACATGTTGGTTGGAAAGGTGTTGGTGCAGCAATAACATTGGTGTGTTAGCTGTGAATTGTTGGCAGTTTGTTTAATGCCAGTCTGTCCTCTCTGCGTCAGATTCAGACAACGGCCGATGAACAGTTTAGACTTTTAGTTTTTTTTTGTTTGTTTTTTTTCAGCAGAATGTTGAGATATCAAAGTTTCATACTGGATAAAGCCACTCCACGTGATTTAATGCCTAATTTTCTTTGCCATGTTAACCCAGTACTGCAATAAAACCTTTTTTTTTTTTTTTCCTCCGTTCATTTCCACTCCACCTCGGATAAGCCAGACGCAACACCATTTCTGTCAAGGGTATAAAACGACGACTTACAAAGGGAAAATACACACATTGAAAACACATTTTACAATGCATCAGAACATTGTAAACTTCAACGAGAGGTACATGTGAGGTCGTGTGGCCAAGAGCTTCAGTCTGTCGTAACTTTGAATGAAAACATCCGGCGCATTCGTAGTCGTCTTTATGTGTGCCTTTTTTGTCAGATCTCTCTCTCTCTCCCTTTTACAAAAAATAAAGGTTTCATAAAAAATCTTCTGCGCCACATAAAGACAAAATGATTTACATTTCTTTTAGAATTTATCATGCAACCTTGAGTGTAGATGCTGCATAGAACGATCAGTATTTGTTTTTTGCACTTTCAAAGCAGTCTCAAATAAAGAAATAAAAAAAAAAGGCCCACCGGGGGGCGGAAAGTAAAAAGAAATAACTGACGAGGTATTTTATGCTATCAATAGGAATTATAAGGAATGATATGACTTTGAAGAGCTTTTCTAAAAAGGTTGATATATCTATATATATTCATGAAGTACCTCATAAGCCTGATATATGCTGCATTGACTTTTTTTCTGTAGTGTACTTCATATTGTTCAGTCAAATTTTCATTTCCCCCTTTTGTTCTGGGGGGGAGGTTTGAATGTCACCACATGACTGTGCACACGCCACAACCAGTACAACTTCTGTTCTACAACAAATCAATTCATTACACCTTGTGGCCAAATCCAAATGTGTCATTTATGCAATTTAAATGTAAATCTCATCTGAATATTTCTCCGTTGTAGCCACGTCTGTTCTGTCTTTTTTTTTTCTTTTCTTTTTTCCCAATGTCTGTGTAGCAACAAAAAAAATCTGGTTTATTTGATGAAGACGCCTCGTGCGAGGCTCTGTGGTATAAAACACGACTGTTGACTCAGGTAATGTCGTGAAAGGGCTGTATCTGCTTTACTATGCCCCCCCCCTCCCCTAATACCCCCCTCTGCACCTTTGTCTTAAAATAGCCTTAGATCTACACGTGAGGTTTCTATTTGGCCTTAAAAGTTGAACAAATTATGCACTACAATTGCCCAGACTTGACAGAGAAAGCTTGATTCCCGTTCAGACACATTCTTTGAAGCGTTGCCTGTTATCTACCTCCTATGAATGTAGAGGCTGTCCTGGAGTTGTAGTCCACCGAGAAACTAAAAGGAAAACAGACAATCATCTGTAGTCTTTTACAAATATCAAATCTATTCCCCTCCTCATTTCTACATAAAGCTGATTCCAGGACACTCCGTTTTTGTTTTTTCATGTTGTTTTCCCTCTTCGGCCATTTTCATTTTCTCCCCGTGTTGTTTTGAATTGTAAGCCATGATTGAGAAGCAAAGTGACCAAAGTCTCTTTTCAACGGCAGCCCCTGCACAGCCGCGTGAATTCAAACCTCCCTTCCATTGTGTCATTTTGAGCTCAGTGTTGAGTTGTTGTTTCTATTTTTCTCTCTTTTTACTCTCTCTCTCTCTCTCTTCTCCCTTATTTAAACCACGACATGCCAAAACTGAATTTGCTGTCATTCCTGTTCTGGTGAGGGTCTTTTTGTTGCTCATTTCTAATTTGTTCACATCCACTGCTAAGCTCCTTGTTCTTGTTGTTGTAAAGTTGTAAGCTTTGATTTCTATTTTACATTTCCTAATATTTTTTTTTTTTGTTAACAATTATGCTTACAGAACACAAGATATGCTGTAAACCCTTTTAGGACATAATGTGAATATGTATCACTTAATATAGTTCACTCTTTGGCTTGACTGTAAGTTGCGTTAATTAATAAAATGTTGAAAAAAAATCTCTTGTGATGACTCTTCTGATTTTTTTTATTTTTCACACTGTAGTAATGTGACAAAGTTTAAGACAAGCAAGAAGAAAAAAAAGAGTAACAGCAAAAGCAACCCAGTGAGAGAATACTGAGTACAAACTAAAAAGTTTACAGAAATACAAGAATGTTGTAGAAAAGTCTAAAAAAGAAATCCAATCATAGTAAGACAACAAGGAAAAATAATGAAGAGGATCTGAATAAAATAAATTCAAAGTAGTTTAGTTTACATCAGTGCACATGTTTGGATCTCTGTTCTCGGTAAAGACAGTCTCTCTCGTTTAATTTGGACGGGTTTGTTTGATGAATGAGGGAGTATCACGTGTGGGGAGGACGAAGGAAAGGACAAAAAAAAGAGCATACTAATATAAATAAGTAATGAACTACCTTAAAACATCATATTAAGGCAGAGTAAAATAATGTATTCTTTACAAAAGATATTTGTGTGCTATAGCTGTAATATGATGTATGAAGGAATGCATGTAACATAAAACATGCTTTGAAATATATACACATATTATACATGTGTATAAATACATATCTACATACACATGACAAATGGTGCTTTTCTAGTCTTCTGACTACTCAAAGTGCTGTTCCACCTCTCTGTTCACACCCTGATGGCAGAGGCTGCTGTTTAAAGATTCAAGATGAACTTTATTGTCTCACAAAGTGAGAAATTTGGATCTGACTCTTAACCCGTGCTGCAGTCATAAAAAAGACAATAATTGACATCATTAACATAAAATGAAAAACATCATTTATTAAAAATTAAGTATATAAATAACATCAGGTTCTTAAAATACCATTGCAAACGCGCAAAGACAATTCCAGTGCCAGTCAGTCTTATTTGCCACTATTTAAAAGTTTCATAGAAATGGGGATACATTAATTTATAAACCTGTTCAGTCTACAACGGGGAACTCTGAACCTCTTGCCAGAGGGCAGCAGCTCGTACTCTGTATGTGGAGTGTCCCATCAGTATAACTAATCCATTCATACACACTCGTACGCAGAGGTAGAAACTTGGAGTTAGGTGTCTTGCCCCACATGTGGCTGCAGGAGCTGGAGATCCAACCCCCAACCTGCCAGTTGAGAAACGAACAACTTTACCACTGAGCCACAGCCGCCCGTAGACTTATCACATACTGTTCAACATCAAAGTTTATTCTCATACTAATGGTATGTTTAATACATTATAAGAAAATCTATATTATTGTTATGATGTAATAGTCATGTATTAAGAGTATTATAATAAGGGAATCATCATTTAGAACAATTAACTTTACACCTCAGCATAGAAATGATGATACATAATTTTATGATATTGTGATATTTTAATAAATATAATATCAATAACGATGATATTATATACCAAGAAGAAGGTAGTACAGTAATTATAATAGTGTAATATACCATTTTACGATACCATATCGCACATTTCAAGGTTAACCAAAAAACTGCTTGTACAGCAATGAGGGATGAGAACAAACTGGGCCGTCAGAGAGGAGAGCAGCAGACATCTATTGTTTGTGTCACCTTCTGTTCGTCTTCATTGGTTTACCCATAATTGGGAGGGAAGGGTTACTGCCAGCTCACACCCAGCCGTCCCTGTCATGGGTCCCACCGTCTGTTTAAGAATTGTCATTGTCTAATGTTTTTTCTTTGGGTAAAATGATGTCATGGTCCATTATTCAGGAACCTTCTTGCCGTGAGGTGACTACTGCCCTGTGCAGCTCTTAAATATACAGGAATATATTTTCCATTAACATTAAACTAGATCGTTCTTTTTTAATCAAGTCTAATTGCACCTTTGGCGATAACAAAACTGAATTATTTCTAGGAAAGCTACAAAGAAGGATTATAACCAAAACATGATAAAAAAAAAACTTCCCCTGGCCAACTGAGGAAGTGATCAATAATGATTGGTTGAAAGTGTTTTCGCCATGCAGCCATTAGGTTACGCTTTAGCACTTTGTCTGACACGTCTTTAAATTTAAATATATTTATTTAACAATGTCGTCACAGATGACAGTCACTGTACAATATGCTGCATGAACAAACTGTCAAAGCTCAAATCTGAATTCAGTTTGTGAGACCGACCATTTCACTTTATCAGATAATATGACTCCAGGATACATTTTGATCTGTACAGAAACAGTCACCAGTTAAGGTTCGATTGCACATCCAACGTCTTTTACTTCAACAAAATGTCAATAATGTCAATAAGAAAGAGTTTGGTCAGGTTTGTTAAAGTTTATTTCTCTGATAAAAATGTAAAAACATTTGTAGACATGAGGTTGATGTGAAAACAGACAGCAGGGTTGTTCTCTGACATGTGGCACAGCGAGTTTCTCACATGATATAAATATAGAACGCAAACAATATCCACAGAAGGTCATCTACCAGGGTTTGAAAATGTTGTGTCCTCAAGTTCAGCTTTCAGAACAAATAAATGGAATTCTTTCACTATTTTTGTTCCAAGCTCCAACAATAGTGCTTTTAGTTTCATCCTTTGGCTTTGCTATCAAATCCAATGTTGGGTGTGAAATCATTCATTTATAACTGCCTACAGTTAGAATCCCAATCAGGTTTAACATGAATGAATTCTTTTTGGAGTTGGATCGGGGCTTTGGCATGATGCAACAGTGAAGATCCAGAACAGAAAGAGGGAGCAGGTTTGTGCCACACTCACAAATATTAAACATTCACCGGCTAATGTTGACAGTCGACTCCAGACAGACACAGACAGGCTGGTAACAGGATAGTGAATCAAATGAAAACAAATCAAATGAGCATGTGTGACAAACACTAAACACTATTCACCACCACACTGATGGGAAAACTAGAATGAGAAAAACAAAACTGAATAAGCAGACACAGTGTTTGATCCTGAAACATACATGATAAAGATGATTCTCGTTACATACTGAGGGAGTTGTGCGCTTATGAGCCTTTCAACCGCTTTCTTTCTGCAAAGTTTATCCTGGACAGGACGCTGATAGAAAAATGTACGGGTCTGCTACTTCCAAACTAAAGGAAAAGGTTTTATGGACGCAAAAATAAAACTGCTACATCGATTTCAGACATTTAGAGCTCTTAGTTTCTTGGACAATGACTGCTCAGACTTCCTCTAATCCATCTCTTTTTCCTCGTCTTCTTATTGAAGCTTGGATCGGGATCATGAATCCTGGATGTCCGTGGAGATTAAAAACTGACACATACTTGAAATCAATCAACGGAAAGAGCTACAACATTAAACTACAACAATAAATTAATGCAAAAATATGGCCCCTCGTAAGGTGGCCAGATTTTTTTTGTTTTCTTCTCACTGGAATTCCACATTGAATAGAAAGATCTTTCATAAAAAGTTATAAAATAAATAAGCACTCTTTCCCTTTCAGTTTTTTCAGAATAAAAAAGTTGCACTGCTCCAGGCCCGAGAAGAAGAAAAGCAATTATGGGTGATTTTTTTTTTTTTAATTTTCATTTTTTTATTAGTTAGCATTTCTTCTTCTCTTCTTTGGCCTTTGTGGTAGGAAACACACACACGCACACGCTGGTGGGTCATGTGACCCGCTCAGAGTGGTCAGTGGGAGCGCCGCAGTTGGTCCTCAGTAAACCCAGTTCACAGGGACCCACTGGGGCTCGTTGCACAGTGTGTCCACGGCCGCCTGTAACGTCTCGAACGCCTTGTCCAGGTTGTCGTTGACTATTGTCAGGTCAAAGTAGTGGTTGTACGCCCTCTGGATGCGGGCGCTCTCGTCCACAGTCTTCCTCAGGTCCACGTCCTGTAGAGACAAAAAGAAGAGGTAAGGTGGCATCAGAAGTTATAGACGGTCATGACCAGGTGGGTGAACACAGGCTGGCTGAATCATTGAGAGTGCCGTTTGTTGCCTGGTAACAGAAATACATTTCTGACTGCTGATTTGCTTCAAAGTAAATCTTTTGAGACCTTTCTGATGTCTCATCAGGGCCGGCTCTTGGCATAGGTGGTCTCCTAGAGCGCCACATGCTGGAGGGGCGCCTATTTTTCTTCCTGTGTTTAGTCAGCCCCACTTTTCCTTCCTCTGCTACGCCCATGTGTTTGTATTATTAACTGGGCTTTACTTTTCAGGATGACCAAATGTGGGTTATGCGAGCACATTGCTCTTTTTGGGTGTGTTGATGATGATGATATGCACATGTGAGTTGTTGACCTACCGTGAGCTGCTTGGTGGTGATGCCTGCATCCACTACGGCTTTGTGCATGCCCTTAAGAGTATCAAAATCTGGAGCTGCAATGAACACCACGTAAGGCATGAACTCTGCTGTTTTCAGCACCTTCAGAGCCTGAGGAGACACACAGCATGCAACAGCACTGACATCACTTCATGTCTTCTTTTTATGTTTCGTCTGACAATGCTGCAAAATATCTCTGTGAAATGACCCCCAACACCAAATGATATGGTTAACCCTGTGTAAACCTCGTCTTACTTGTGGGTTGACGTCTAGGATGCAGGTGCGTCCAGTTCCCACCACCTCATGGATGGACTCGATTTTGGTGCCGTACAGGTTGCCGTCATACTCGCCGTGCTCCAGAAAACGCCCTGCCTTCACATCCGCCTCCATCTCTGTCCGCGTGGTGAAGTGGTAGGAGTTGCCGTCCAGCTCCTCATCACGGGGCCGTCGGGAAGTGTCTGAAAAACACTGGGGTTAATGTTTTATCAGCTCTCTTTTGACTCTTGAGTCAAACAGATAGAAAAAGAATCATGACCTACAGGGTATGGTGGTGCCAAAGCGTGTGGGATGGAGGACCATCAGCCGGTTCTTAAGGCTGCGTCGGCCCACGCCCTGAGCGCCGATCAGAACAAGCGTCTTTCTCTGGAACGCTGGCACTTTTGCGACTTCCTCATAGATCTGCAGCTCATGTCTGTCAAACTCTGTTTGAACATGGCAAAACTATGAATTATTAAAAAAAACATAATCTAAAGATGTTTAACAAGAATGAAGAGCCTTCTGACCTGCATTCTTAGCGGTCAGGTACATCATCTTCTTCTTCTTTTTCCCACTTATAGTTCCACAAAGGATCCCTGCAAAGTTAAAATGAATTCACTCTTGTGCCTTTGTTATTACAGCCTTTGGCCAGAAGGGGGCAGCCATGGATCATTTTTAAGTGTTTGTTAGTCTTTCTACCCAGGTTTTATAAATCAGTTTACAGTAGTATCAGTATCAGGGATGTGACAGAGGTCTGGCACAGAATGAGCTCAAAGTCTTGTGAGCAATCCATCTTTTTAATGTCGGCACAACTAAGGAGAGAGACAGGAAGAATATGAGTGTTTCAAAAGGAAAGGTAAAAGATGCTCCCAATAACCTACCTGATCCATCAAAGTCCCGAGGGACAAAAGCTTTCCTTTTCTCTTCCAAGAACTGACTAGGGATCAGTCCTGTAGCCCCTCCGACCACATGGCACGCCTGGAGAAATAAGAGGCCAGTTCGGTTGAGTCGTAAATCTTTTACAATGCATGATGATTTTTCTAGGTAAGACTGACACCTTTCTCATAACAGCTCACCTGCCACCAGTTTGGATCCTCTCTGTTGACAATCTGAAGGATGTCGCCTCTCTTAAAGGCCATTCCTGCCTCTCTGCAAGGGATCAGGTTGTCATTGGCCGGATCGTAGTCAAAGTATGGCCGCACATAGACCTGTGATGAAAAGGTCCAAGGTATGAATTTTACTTTCAGGGTTTAGGCCATAATACAAGATTATGTCTTGCTTGCTATAAAAAAAAGTTGTGAAAGAAGTACACAACTATACACAAGATTGGATAAAAGAGACTCGTGCTCAGCATGCAGTCTCACACATTGACACAAAAAGAGTGTCTCTGTCACACCCATTGCGTCCAACACTGCACCCGATGCAGCCATTTATGCATTGCCAACAACAGTGAAGACTTCTGCCAGAAAGGGTAAGTGCTCAGGCTGGTGTATTAGATTAAACAAGCAGCCAAAGGAAGCAATAAAACAGGCCAGTAAATTATATTGTGCAGCTTGCCCCAAGCCACAGAGCAGGATGGGATTTTGCATTATGTCTTGATCACTTTTAGTGCAGTTCATTCCATTTAAGCATCGTTTGCATTTCCACGTTTATGGCTAATTTGTCAAGGGTGCAAAAAAAAAAAATCTTCCTCTTTATACTCAGGAGTGTATAATCGTTGGAAACTGTGGGTATAAATCTAAAGAGACAATGAGAATGACTGTACTTCCCATGTGATGGAGCATGAGATTACAGGACGCATGTCTGTGTGTGTGTTTGGAGTGTGTGCAAGAGAGCTAGTGTGACCTAGTTAGCATGTGGAGTGTTATTAATAGGGCTCTTAGGGTTCAAATTCCTATGCAGGGGATTGTGTGAGGGCCACAGGACAGATCACGGGCCCTGCACCACAGCCAAACATCTGCCAACCATTACATAAGTGTGTCTGCTTATATTTACACTCTACTACACTGGATGCTTGTGTGTGTGTGTGTGTGTGTGTGTGTGTGTGTGTTTACCTGGGGAGGTGCTGGAGCGTCTCTGTAGCTCGGGAGTATTTTCAGTGTGATCCCTCCGCTGCAATCTTTGAGCATCTCCTGCAGCTCGGTGGGGTTGTTGCCCACATCCTTCCCGTTCACTTCCTTTATGATGTCGCCCACATGCAGCAGACCCTGCCTGTCGATCATGCCGCCATGGAGGATTCGAGCAATGACCAGGTCTTCCTTTTCCACACGAAACGTCACACCCTGACAGGAAGTAGAAAGCAGATAGTGCTTATTGTTAAAACGTGTGCGCACACACACTTAACCACTTCCTTAAGGCATCACACACACACACGTACACACACACACACACACACACACACACACACACACACGTACACAGATACACTCAGGCCATCTTTCTCTGCTCACCAGTGGCTCTCCGGCCTTCTTTCGGATGCCAATCATGCGCACGGCATCAGCCTGCATTAGAGCGCTGTTCACAGCTGCATCATTGGGTATCTCGGTCGGGGGCGGGACTTCATAGCACTTGGAGGCAACCATGTCATGTGCCTCCAAAAGAGACTAAAAAGGCAAAGAGATAATGAGAGACTGTTGATATGTCAAGTGATAAATGAACAGACTTCCTCTTAATTGGGAAAAATGTATATGAAAAGTTTACAATAAAATCTGTGCGTTTCTTTTTAATTAAATACTCTCTGGTTATGCTTTTACGGCATAACTTGGGCTGTTAGGACCACCTGCTTGTATTTGCTATTTTAAGCAAACATAATGTTGTGTATATAACTTTAAGTCAAACCAGAACTATGACTCTTCTCTACTATTAGGTATTTGGCGTTATCATAGGATTGTGGATAAAATGGTCGTGGCTTAACAAAAAAAAATCACATGGCTCACTGTAATAAAAAATAAATAATAATAATAAAAAATAAATAATAATAATAATAAATAAATTAAATAAAAGCTGTTTAAGCTTGTCTTTGACTGCAGTTACAGTAACACAGAGCTAATGTCACTAGAGCAGTTTGAACACTTAACAATGAAGTCAGATGTGTCTAAAAAACAACAACTCATCATCTAATGGCCTAAATCCTAAATATGGATTACCACCAAAAAACCCATCAATTAATTTATCCTTTATGATGAAAGTTGATGGATGGATAATCACTAGAGTGCTATTTTGGGTGTCACCAGAGATTCAACTTATATAAAAATGTATCCGTCCAGCTTTTAGACAAAATGTAACTTATCACTAATTATTGATGTACGATCTCTTTCTGTCAATGCCTCTCTTTTCCTCAAAGACTGTTTCTCTCTCTCTCTCTCTCTTTTTTCTCTCTCTCTCTCTCTCTCTCAGTAGGTCAAAAGCTTATCGTTCAGCTTGCAGCACAAAGGGCTCTGATTGGTGCAGAGGCTTCTAGCTCCCATTGGCCCAGCCAGTCTAAAGCCGTTGGTAGCTCCAAGGATAAAGGTTAATGTTCTACTGATGCATGAGGACCGGATCCAGAACATCAGCTCTGTGCTACTGTAACTACAGTCAAAACAGAACAACTGTAAGCCGAATTAAGTGACCACTGTGCTCTTTACATTTAAATACAGAGACATCAAATAATACTGGGAACATATTTGTTACCAGTGTCAATAGTGAGCAAGTTAATCCATGATATTGAATTAAAGAATTGCTTACATATTGTATTAACGGTGCTGGAAAACAGTTGTGTCACTTCCCAAATTGAGTTAATATTTAACTGAACTGTGATTTTCTTACCTGGAAGTGTGGCTCCTTGAGGATCCTGGACAGTTCTGCCGCGCTGTCATCTTTCACCTTGAGGTTGCCGATGTCACCCAGGATTTCCGTCACAAGCTCCACGTTGTTGTCCTGCACCGCCTCCAGCTTCACCTCCTCCAGCTGCTCGTGAGCCTGGAGGAGAGAGAAGAATGAATCAGGGCGGGACGATGAATAATGCTGTGTAGGAGCGATTGCTGACTTTACTTTGAATTCAACATAGAGCTGAGAGCTGATTTACTTTGGGATTCTTTTCTCCCACAGGCAAGCTGTCGGCCTGATGTTACAGTTTTAAAAGGCAAAGGAGGATTTGTTTGTGTTTAGTCAACTGTTATCTGGATGTGTTCTGTCTTGCGGGAGGCAGACAGTAGCATAAAATGACAACAGCTTGTCTTGCAGGAGCTACAGCAGTCCTCTGTCTGAACTCAACGCTGCAGATTTCCAACAGTAGTGAAGATGTGTCAGAGAATACAGTTTGTGTGCAGAAACATTGTGAGACATGCACTGACAGTCAAAAAAGGCATACAAGAGAAAGAATACATCCAACAGTTACTGACAAATGTCACTATCTGCACCATTCCTCTTTGTGCACATGCATTGAGCTTAATGTTTTAGTCAAAGCCTTACTCTACTTTAGTTCCCTTTAGCAACAGCAAGCAACATCAGAGACAGCTAGTATTTAGTCTGCTCACTGCTGTTCACACCTAACTATGTATGTATGTATGTATGTGTGCTCCATGAGCCAGGGAAGGAACGTACCACAGGACTTTCCATGATGCCACGCAGGAAGAGCAGGTCGATGTCTTTGGCGCCCGTTGAGGTGGGAAGCTCTGCTACGTTATCCAACACCTGCTGCATGGCTGGACGGACGGGGCGGGACACAAAGGTGAGGACATAAAGAGAGGGTGGAGAGACAAGGAACACTTAGCCAGGCGTGAAAGTCATCCAAAGCAGAAACAGACACATAACAGAGATTATCAGTGTTGACTTATTTCTCTTTAAACAGCAAAATTGCTACCAAGTGTTGAGCTCTCCTGATTCTCATTTATTGCAAAACGAAAAAGTGGCAAAAATGCTTCAAATAAAAGGCACATATCATACAAATATGATATACGGTAATAGTGTTGAAAGAAATCTTGGACCTCCATTAGCACTGTTTGTAGTGCGTCTATTTACTCCCATCATACAAGGTTCTGTACAGTCCCACACCATCTAAAATATTACATTTAAGCTCTATATGGATTTAAAGGGGATGCAGAATGAGCATAATTGAATATGCTCTGTTTGAAAAAGGGAAAAGTCTTGAAGTGAAACTCCAAAGACACTCAAGTGGACCTCAGGTTTCTCAGTTGATATAGAGAGTCTTTCATATTAATCTTGAGCCTTATATTCTGTGCACAGATAGAGAGAGAGAGAGAGAGAGAGAGAGAGAGAGAGAGAGGAGGAGAGGTGGTGACTGTAGGTATCAGCAAGCTAACACCCCCCCCCCCCCATGCCAGGGTCTCAAAGCCCACATAAGCCCATCTAAGACACTTAAAGCCCTGGGAACATGTGTGTGTCTCTCTGTGTTATCATTCACTCATATGGGCAGTAAACAAGTCCAGTCAGCACCGGTATACAACGCATATACTCCATGACCTCTGCATTTCCCTCTACTAGCCCATTATTATCCTTAACCTTGACTCATGTTCTTTGTCATGAAATCATACTTTAATGCTTCAAACTGCTCTTTAGAAAGAAAGTGGCACATGCTAAATTGCCACCTTGAACAAAGCTTGAAATTGTGCTGTTGTTTGTGGTGATATAATGGTGCGGGATATGTGTACTTTCAAAATGTAAAACACTTTTCCTCTTTGATCAAAATACTGTAAAAACGATCTAACGCATGTAAATGAACCCATCTGTTACCTGATACCTCATTTATTTTAATGTTCATTTCAGCATCTTTTGCACCACTCACCTCTGCACTGTTGTCTTCTTTAGTTTGCTTATTGTTAATATTTAATGTTGTGCTTTTGTACATGGAGAGCACAGTTTATCCAAGTCAAATCCCTCATATGTGTGAGCATACCTGGCCAATATATCGGATTCTGATAAAGCACATGCAAATTCATTCACACTTAGAAGACAATCTGTGTCACAGCATTTGAATATACCATAGACTCTAGAACGCATCGTATCATGTCTTGTTAAAACACCAAATCTGAATAACAAACATTGGATTCTGTTTAAGCTTCTCGTCAACAGGAACGTGAGGAATACAAAGGAGAAATCCTTCATGCATCTTATCCCATCTCCCCCATCCAATTTTTCTTAACAACGAGTAAGGTTTTTTTACCTGTTCTTTTACAAAGTGTTTCAAGATAACACTTGTTATGAATTGGTGCTATACAAATAATTATTGATTGATTGTCAAGGTCCGTTGGATTTTTCATCCAAATTGAATATGTTTTTGTGATTAACACAGAGGCACATTTTAAATTCTAGTATTTTCTCGTTTGCAGCAAAAAAAAAAGTAGTACATCAGTCAAACAAGAGCTTCACAGTCCATCCATCATGCATACAACAATGAAAGAGGTGCATGATTAAAAGAGAGAAAGACAGACCGGGAAAAATGATTATTTTTTTTCTCACAATGTAGAGAAGACTTCACTGTGGCTTGATAAGCACAGAGCACAGACTGACTGCATAAACAGAAGGCTCTGTGCAAAAACAAACTTTAAATATTTATGATCCTCTTAAAAAAAAAAAAGACAAATAGGGGAGGGATGTTACAAACTGCCCTGCAGACTATTAAATCTAACCTTAAAGCCATATATTTGCCGCATGACTACACAGAAATACATTCTCAGACCCAAATCAGACTCATAGTACACACAAGCAAAACAGTACCACCTAAGAGTTTTCACAACCTAGAATAAACACTAGCTCTCAGAGCGAGGCAGTGATTGCAGTAAACAAATCCACACATGCTACCACTGTGTGCACAGAGCACATAAACTAGCATTAGAAACCACAACCTTGATTGCACTACACTCGCTGACTCACACCTACATTTAATTAACCCTGTCACGTCTGAAAAGTAAGTTCCCTTTGTTGGAACTTTAAAACATGTAGTGATTCTAAAATGTGCAATGCTATCCAGTAACTGTGCTAGAAGAAAGAGCGAGCATGAGACACTGACACTAAATGTGTAAGGAAAAGTCATCCAGTATTAAAAGGCTCTAAATTAAAAGAACACATCTGACAACAAAACATCCAAATCATACAGAAATAAAAAGACTCACATCTACATTCCACCATGCATCTGAGTTTATACACTCTCTTGACCTTTAGCCACTTGGTCAGCTCATTGTGTCACCGCGTCCTCGACCACAGGAATGTTTGCTCATCCATCACCCCTCCCCAGCTGCATGAAGTTGTGTGTATACTGTCCACTATCACTCGTACTAAACAACAACCTCAAAAAGTTTCCTATTTAGTGAGAGATTGCAGATGAAGTTAAGCCTCCTTACTAAATATTTTCTAATGCCATGAAATATGGCATGAAGGTATAACCAACCACCTACCAGCCTCATGCTAAGCCTGGCCTGAAGTTTACGGTTACAGTGGAGTAGCTCATTCATCTACATAATGGATCATCCTGCTTACCTGCTCTTAATTCCTCCCTTTTAGGCATTCTGGTTCATCTGCAGTCCCTCTCACCATCTAACCACCGCCTCTGACTGTTCACCTACCAGCACTGTGTGCAGTGAATGCCAATGCAGACTGTCTGCTTAATAATTCCTAACTCTGTTTCTCAACGAATACGACACAAATCCCACGAGAAAGGACCTGGCATCACAGATTATATGTAGGTATTTTCCAGCACACAGGAAGGAGATCAGAGGAGCACCTCGACTGGCACAGAAGTAACATCACCGCTGACAAAGTATTTCTAAGTGTATTTTCTGCAGGTAAAGGCTTGAAATGCCTCGAGGGAAGAATATGCAACTCTCGTAGCAAGCAGTAGTTCCTTCCAGGATCACCCCAGGGTGTTCAGTTACAAAGGGGAATGTGGTGAGAATGTAAATTAGACAAACTTAAATTTACAGTAGAAACAGTAGAAAGTATAGGACTTTTTGATTTAAAAAAAACAAACACATTTTGCTAAAGAGTGCTTTTAACTTGCAAGGAAGCAGAGGTCTTATTATTTAGCCAAAGGTAATGGAAAAAATGTTCAATGAGAGCCCACAGATAATATATATATATATATATATATATATATATATATATATATATATATTTTTTTTTTTTTTTTTAATAGTTAACTGAAATTTGATAGTTGACTTGAAGTTGATAGCAGAAAATTAGCAACAAGTAATGAGTAAACAGTTAAGCAACAAGTAGGCTAATGAAACAACTCAAATAGTTTGCTAAAAGTAAGGGCTAAACAGTTTAATTGGTTTATATGGTAAGCAACAACAAGGCTGGATTAACAGCTAAAATAGTTAGCTCAAGTAAACAATAGGCAAGTCAGCAATAAGTAGGCTAACTGATGAACACTCACAGACATGGCTAAAAGTAATGGAAAACAGTTTAAATAGTTAGCTTAAGTAAAGGGTAGGTGAGACAAATAGTTTGCACGAGTAGGCTAATGGATACACAAATCAAAGAGTTAGCTCAATGGATAATTGGTTTAAATTGTTACTAACTGCGAGACCAAACCGTTTAAGTAGTTAGCCTAAAGTAGCCGCAGAAATTGTTGGCAATAAACTGGCCATTGATTGACCATTTAAATAGACGCCTAAAATAATGGCTAAACAGTTATGTTAGCCAAGCACAACCGGTAATTATCTTGGAAATGTTTAAGATAAGGGATAACCAGCTAAAGTAGTTAGCTAAAATAACTATATAAAACTCACAAATAAAACTGTTTTTTCACAAGGTTTGCATAATCTAATAGTTCAGAAGGTAATAATCGTTGACACTTTTAAGCAGTTGACGGAGTTAGAATTATGGAAATATCTTTAAAACCTCTTGTTTCCCAGAGTCACATGACTAAACCAAACTAGCACTGACTATTTATATGGAAATACAATTTTATTATATTGTCTTGAATTACATTTTGTTTAAAATAAATTAACATTATATTCTTGCAAAATGACCACACAGAGGTACTAAAGTTTCATATTTATGAATATGAATAGGCCTACATTAAACATGAAAAAAAAAAAGATTTAGAGTCAAAGCTCCAAGGGATCATTTACAGATGATAGAAACATATCATCTGTAAATGACACCTCTGCTATGTTGTAGTTTTCTTGTGGAAATGTCCTTAAGTAATTCAAAAGACGATTCAAAGTTTACCCAGCATCTCTCTGCTTATATATCTAAGTGACACCTCTTCCTCCTCCTTTCCTCACCTCCAGATGTATTTGGCTCCTGACTGGACTGCAGGACCGGGGGTCCCTCCACGCCAGGCTGTCCCGGGGACATCAACTCCTCCTCCTCCTCTCGTACCCCATTGGGACAGGCATCGTCCATAGCTGTGACCATCGCCAAAGCCCTCCGTCTATCTCCTTATGCCACAAGTATGCTACGGCTAACCACTAGTAAACCACCAGCAGTTCTGCAACTACGTCTTCTGTCCTCCAGTCGTCTTGTCTGGCACTGCTGGCCCTCTGAACTCCCAAAAACACAGAGAGAGAGAGAGAGAGTAAAGAGGAGACAAGAGAGAGAGGGGGGGGGATTGAAGACAGTGAATGAGAGAGGCAAAGAGACACAAAGAGAGCGACAATAGAGTGGGATTAAGATCAGGGGATATTAAGAGACCAAGAGGGAAAGAGGAGTGGAGAGGAAGAGGAAGGATGAAGGGGAGAAAGTTAAGAAGACGGGAAGCGGCTGATGTTATGATAAGTTCCGAGAGACAGGCATGAATGTGGACAGAGAGAGGTAGAAAGCTGGATCTCATACACAGATGTGGACATGCATTCAATGCGTGTTAGCGCCCTCCCTCCACTCCGGCTTTAATACCTTCCCATCCTAACCCTCCACCCCTCCTCTCCGTTGATAACACACATACACACACTCACATAATCCCACAATCCTCTCCTGCTGTTGAGGGCTTGCTTGAGTACCCCTCCTCTTGTTTCCCCTGACCCCACCTAAAGTTGAGTATCCCCTCCTGTCTGGACAGAAGCGCACACACACATATACACAACACTTGAATGTGTCATTATGTAAGTAATCTTACATAAGTGAAGGGGCCTGACCCTGCATTCTCACTCTTTTCCTCCTTCTTTTTTCCCCATTCACACCGCTCATGGTTTGGACACCCCGCTGCAGGAATGTGGAGAAACTCTCAGCGTGTGCAGATTGTGCTCGTGCGTATTCACTCAGCGGTCGTCCACCTCCTTAAAGCAGCAAGGGTCTGCCTAATGGGAGTTTTTTCCTCTCTCATTTCTTTTTGGTCTCCCTTCCTTCTTAAACTAATGTGCCCTCGCCACCTTTTCTTTTCTTGCTAAATCAGTAGGCTTAAAATGCTGACTGGATTAAGCACATTTTGGGTGTGCAAATTAAGCTGCTCAACGCTTGCACTATAATAGTTTTAGCCAAGCTACTTGGTGCAATACTTTCTTATAAAAGGTTAATGTTGGACATAATTCATTCACAGAATAAATGCACAAACATTTGAGATTTAGGCAGGATTGGAAAGAAATTACATCAAGAGTTACCAGCCTCTAGATCAGCATGATGCTGCACAGAGGCAATATGTAGCTTTTAGCTTAATTCTTGCATCTGCATGCTAACATGCTCAAATTCTTAACAAGTATAGAATTCACCATGTTTACCAGCTTGGTCACATGCATTTGTACAATAGAGATCACCCTGTAGGTAGTTTCATTATTATTGCAGGTACTTGTTCATAGACCAAAAATTGCAAAAAGTTCTATTTCACCCTGTTGCCATTGCTGGATGACAAGTCACTTGTGTGCCTATCCATTATGTAATTTTATATCTCACTAGATATGTGAGAACTTTGAACCGATGGTGGTGCTACATTAAAACTCATCGTATTATTTGGGATTCATTATCTCGAGACGATAAATGGCTATAAAATAATTCACCATTCAATCTGTACTTATTGAGATATTTCATCCCAAAATGACAGGATGGAGGACTCTACCCACTCTGATTATCACAGAACTGCGAGCTTGGCTTAAAATCCAACCCCTCTGCAAGCACTCTGTTACCGTTCAGTGCCATCTAAAACAAGCTCCGCCCTATCAGCATCCATTAAGCCCCACCCAAAGCGGCACAGCTGTGCAAGGAGCAGATCTGTAGGATTTAATCCACCCCGCCTCTCCCTCTACCCTATCCTCACCAGAACAAGTCAACCCCTCCCCCAACCTAGGACATGGGATTTAAATCCGGTCACAAAAGCACGGGATTACAGAATCTCTCTCTCTCTCTCTCTCTCTCCATATCCAGTGTTCAAATATCTCTGCAGGGCGAATGCTTTGATAATATACTGCCTGATATGGCAAAGGTTTTCTTATGCCAACTTATGTGAATGAAAATTGCCTTTACCAAACACTTCCTCTGCCCCAGTGTTGTAGAATATTTATGTCACTTTAAATTAAAAGATAAAGAACCCACATGTCTATCTTCATTTAGCTGATCACTCATGTCTTTCCTTTAAAAATGTTATTGTTCCTCTATAGAAAGTAAGATGGTTACTTCTGATTTTGAACTGCGGTGGCACAGCTGTGTGACAAATCAGAATTTAAAATCAACACATATTAGAAAACTGATCATAATGTTGTAGAACTGAATATGTGTAATACATTAATATGCTTATTATACATCAATAAGAACAACTCTGTATGTAAATAGTTCTGACATGAGCTTTCTTCTAGGTCAGGTAAGATTCACAGGCAGGAACTGAATACGTAAAAGTCTCTGCGATATTAAAACGGAAACTTTAATTTCACAGTTTCAGACTAATATTTGCATGGCCCTTTGAGTACTGAGGAAGAGGTTTCAACCGTGTAATCCACTCGGACATATAAACACAGGCGGAAAAACTGTCTGCTTCCTGACTTCCTTAAAAGTGAGGGTTTGTTTTTTTAAGAGCATTGGACTGCACATCCTGGCTTCAGAGTCTGGCAGTCCTCCCGGTGAACTGAAAAATCATGTCAACATGTTGAAAACATTTTTCTAAAGGCCTTGTGGAAGTTGTGTTTACCTGTGCCAGTCGATGTAGCCCAACCCCCGTCCTACTGGCTGCTCATCAGTCAACTGTGAAGACCTGAAGACAGGAAAAGAAAAAGAGGGATGTGTGAGACTCATTTCCATCTCTGTCTCACTTGCTTTCCTGCACACCAGTTTTCATCATTCCTCACACACCCGCTTACTTTCACATTCAGATACGGGCTCATGCTTATCCATCACACACACACACTCTCAATGGCTGCTTCGTTTTTTCCCTGCAGTTTATCGGTTTCATCTATCTATGCCATCCCCGTCTCTGCAAGATAGCAGTCCCATCTGCAGACTGAGGCTGCTGTTCCCTCAGACTGATGCACAGAGTCAACCAGGACGATTCATTGTCCTCTGCTTTATCCCACGAGGCCTGCACCATCAGCTGGCACATCAGAGTAAACGGACCAATATTCACTGGAAGTAATGACAGAGCAGTATACATTCAATTCCTGAGAGACTCTCCTCTCACCTGCACTTGAAAACACAAACACACGCATACACACCTTCTGTTTGTTTATGGTGCAGTACAAGACGGTATATTGAAGGACAAATATTTTAATATTAGTTAAAAAATCAAAAGATGTGTCGACAGTATATCGTGTTTGCTGATATGATAAGATTCAGTTTACATGACAGGAAGTTATTGTATTGAAGGGCTAGTTATAAACTAAAATAAAATGTTCATTTATTTAGAGCATACCATTTTGTCATGCAGGGTGTTGCTGCATTTTATCATGAATATTTAGTAGAGATGGGACAGATCTGATCCGATATCAGGTCCGATAATGACCTGATTTACAGATCAGATATTGGACTTGCATCGGCGATCCATGTCACCGATTAAGAACAATCGTTGGGCACGTTAAACTTTCTCAACTCGTAGAGTCTCACTATGAGACATTTAGACTTATTTTAACTCATGTACAGTGTCTTAAAGATCTTTAAAAGTGCTTTGTAAATACAATGTATCATTATGTTTAATACTATTATTCAACTTTTAGGGGAGTTTCGTATTTTTCAGTTTATCAGATATCATCATGATTCACAAAATGGTGATATTATTATCATCCTGGGCCACGTATGACGTATGGTGAGTTACTGTAGAATTCCCAGCCCTAATATCAAGAGTGAAAACCAAAACTGATGAGTCCTTACTAAAAATGTGTGTTTATGTGACAACAGAAAATATTACCGTAACTTTAAATGAGTTACCTAAGAATATGGAATCAACAATCACATTAACCTATTCATTTTGTTACTGACTATCACGCTCCTCTTTTCAGACATTGGACTGTAAACCTCATCTTATGTAGATAAAAATATATTAAGAGAAGTGCTCCAAATTAATTTCATTATATTTAAGTGTAGAAGCAGTTACTTCACCTACTCTGGTTTCTATTGAACATTGACATCCAATGTGGATAAAAATTGATTTTTCAAACCCTAACGTTAGAAATGTAACTATTTAATTAAACTGCAAAGTCTGACTGCCAACGTTCAACCCATTCATGCTGCTCTGAATAGCTATTGTGAAATGAATCGATAGAGAATGCAAGCCAGCAGAACAAAAACAATGCAGTGGTGTGATAACAAATAAGTGATGGATGTAATCACGCTGTAAAACAGTAGATTATCACTGGTCCATGCTTCATTTCAGTCAGCATTTATTTCCCTGTAACCCCCCCATCGCTTACGTGTGCTTCAAGGAAAAGAAGGGTGATGCAGTGAAAGACTGTTCTCTAAAAATCTAATCGTTCATTAATATGCTAACCTGCTGGATGTTTACTCTCACATACACACTCAGGAGATCACAATGTCTACTTAACCTTTAACTTGAACTCCTCTCTATGTAGTCTGGGTCATGGCGGCCCAGTATTGACTGGAATTTAGAGCCAAAACGTTAACAAAGTGATTACAACATGCAGAGATCTCCTCATCAGGTTATCTTAACAGAGGTCTTCTCACTTATCATGCTAGAACTAATTGCTCCCTAATTGTGTGAGGGGGAAAAACAGAGGAAGAGTGAATAAGAGGTCGATTCATTACACAACACAGATTACAATCACGCTCGACACGCTTATTGGAAGTGAAAGATATCCCTTGGAAGAATTTTAATGGAGGGAAAGACACCGCTGCAATTTCTTGCCAGATCATCCGCACAAAGGAGCACAAGCAAGGGTTGGGCCAATCAAAAAAGGTCCGGACAGGCAGGGAGGAGGAAAATGGAAAGGGTCACGCAAGGCAGAGGACAGTATAAGAATGGGCAGAGGGAGAAATCCAGATGAGTCACAAAGGAGATTCAGAGGAGAGAATACGGAATAGATAACATGTAAGGAAGAGCAAAAGAGAAGATTAAAGATTAGGCAGAGTTGTGGGCAAAGTCTCTCAAGTATTTGGAGGATAAGGAGAAGAAAGAACAGAGATGAGAAATGTATTTTCTTCTGCCAGGTAATTGTGTTTTCAGGAGAAAAAGTTTCACCAAATTTATGTTTTATTTCTCCTAAATATTTGTGCAAACCTTCTGAGAATGTTCTTAATGTAGGAAAGATGCTATAGGTTATGACAATCACTGGCAACTGCTCTTTCCTCCTCTTCCAACAGTGTGGAGAAGAAAAAAAAACACAGGAAGTGGTCATTTGCGTTCATGGCTGCAGCAGAGTCAACAAAAGCCCTCTGAATGCCCTTCTGGTTGCCGAGCACTCAGATGATGGACTGCGCGTGGAGGGGGGATTATGGAGGGATAACAGGGTTTGTTTTTGTTAGAAACATCATTGCTATGTCACACATGCAAATGCACTAGTGTGTGAGTGCGTGTGTGTGTGAGTGCACACTGACATCAGCCCGCTGTGTGTCCTTTTAATTCTTCTATATCTAGTCACGCCAACAGGAAATCTCACTCTACGTCAGACTGTGTGTCATTGAGTGCATTTTTTTATTTCCTTGTCTTTGATGGAGAGCGATGCTCCATTGCTGTAGGTGGTGAAACACGCAATAAAATGCAGAGTCAATCAAATAAATAAGTGCGGTGGCCTACAAGGCCAAACATGCTGAAAAAGCACGAGATCATTTAAATAAGAAAAATCATATCATGCTATACCAGCCATCATGAAGGAGGTACTCCAAGCCTGCTGGGGGCGCCGATTGGAACTGGATTGTGGTGTTGTGTATTGATTTTACAATGTAGAGAGCCTGGAGCACTTCACTTCTGACAAGCGGGAAAAAGCTGATGATGGGTATGGGAGAGGAGAGGAGAGGAGTAAGAGGGATATTGGGCATCACTTTACGCCTTTCTCCAGAGGCCAAAGGACAGGGGTCAGTTCCTCAGAGCAAGGACCTACACCTAGTAAGAAAACCACCTCACTACTGTATTCCCCTCATCAATCTGACCTATATTGGTCATGTGGGGGCTACAAACTTATTCCTTCCTGTCGTTCAACCTCTTGCATTATTTTTTTCTCTATAAAGTAGCAGAATCAAGGCCCAGTTAGCACCCCCTACAGGCCAGGAGCACTTCCAGTGTGATGGATATGCATTATTATACTGTTACATTTTTTGTACAGGTTTTTGTCTTTCTTAGTTAATAGCTTTAATATATATGTGCAAGCTGTTTGCTATCTCATTTGTTTTGGCTTTTGCAGCACCTTTTTTTCCTATCCAGTCCATTTTCAAAAATGAAAACCCCTTGCATCATGGTAGTGTGGTTGCCTTTCTTGGTTGCTTTACATCAGGCATCCATCTGCAAGAAACAATTCAGTCCATGTCTATAAATGCTCTTTGCCTCTATTCTCTGTTCTTAACAAAAACTTACTCTCTGCTCTGCTCTGCATCACAGCGCCAGGGGCACAGCTTTGAGAGCAGCCGTCACTCCCAGTTCCTCTCAATGAATTGAGAATCACAAAAGAGGCAAGAGGAGGATTCCAGATGTCACTTGATTGGCTGACTCCAGGGGAAGCAACGCGCAATTAGTAAACCTTTCTGGGCTGCAGCGCTCCCTCTGCATGACACCAAAATGGCAGCAGGATCGAGAGAAATACAACACATTCAAGGAATCTTTCTGTCTTGATGTGTGTGTGTGTGTGTGTGTGTGTGTGAGACAAATAATAACTGGCTACTCATATGACCAACCCCCTATGATAGCCAACCCAATCCTGTCCTGCCCTCATCCATCACCCGCTGCCTCCAGACAAACTCTATGTAGGTCACTCCATGTGCTCACACAGCCGCTCAGATAAGAGGATTACACTGCTACCCCCAAGATGTCCATCTTTGCAGATCAATATCTGCAGTATATTTACAGTCATCATATTTTTCAAACAGTTTAAATTCTATTTTTGTTGCTTCTGTCTGTAAAAAGTTGATGAAATCCACTTTGTGTGTCCAAATCCACCACGAATAATGAGTATGCCTCTTTCCGCTGAATCATGCTTACCTCCACACTTCACCTGACACAATCTAACTGACCACTGTTAAACACAGACATTAACTGTTGCACCATGGCACATTCCCACGTCGCTTGTTATGACCTCATTCTCCTCCCGCTGATGTTCCAGCTGGTAGGATGTCTGCGCTTTGCCACGCAGCATGGGATGCTACAATTACACGCATCTAATCAAAACCCCTTCGGCGCTGGACGTGCAGCGTTCTTAATAATGAGCACCTCATGACATAATCTAACCCGCCACATGGCCATCCCAGTCTGCTTCTTCTCAGCTTTTCTCCCTTCCCAGCATCCTGTTCCTGCTCATTAGTATAACAGAGGAGAGGAGGAGAGGAGGGGGAGGGAAGGGGGGAAGGGAGAACTGATGCAACAGCACTTAACTGCAAAGTTTAAAAAAAAGAGGAATATGATGTGTGATGTTGAATAAGGAAAACTCGATGTGAGAAGGGAGAGGGGGCAGGGAAAAGAACAGTCCCCAGTGAATTTTCCCAGCGAGTTAGCTTTTTTTCTCTGTTCGTCTTGTCATATTTTAAATATTGGCAAGAATTGCAAATGCAGAGCTATATTGCGGTATCATAGAAGCAGGAGCTACTCCAGTACAAATCAATGAGACTTTTTATTAGCTGTAGCCATTATATGATAATGACCTTAAGTTCACTTCCTGTAGATGAGTTGACAACAGAAAATATGTTTATCCAATGCTAGGGCTGGGTAAAAAAACTTGTATTTTTTTACATTAACGATCAGCTGTAATCAGCGGAATGTAATCTGCTGATTATTTTAATCATGAATTGACTAATTGTTTAGTCCATGAATTGACAAAAGTAATGAAAAATCATCTTCATTTTTAAAAGCCCAGGGTAACTAATTTGCTTATTTTGTCAAACCACAAGTAAAAACTCAAAGACTTGATTTAATTATTCAAAGTAACAACAAAAAGAAGCGAATCATTACAATGAACAATCTGGAGATGCTAAATGTCTAGCATTTTTGCTTGAAAACCACTAAAACAAGTTGCGTAGTATAGAAAAATCTAGAGATTGTATTTGTTTTGATGAATGAATCATTGCAGCTCGACATGCAGGCTTATTTTTTACCAGCTTTATTAGTCTGTGTGAAGCGTTGCATCAAAGATCTGACATTTCAGTCTCTAATGAGGTGATGGAAATGAATGTACTTGTGGAAGTGGAAGGCCAACCTCTGCGGATAAATACTGTTTGTATTTATCCGCAGAGCTATGCAGCTTTGAGGCCATGGCGATTTTGGATCAAATCTGGTGATTCTGCACTTTAGACTGAAGCAAAAACAGCATACATTTGCCCTTTCTTGCGTTGTAGCGATTCTTACATCAAGTTCAATTCATACTACCCCCTCAGTAATGTGGTTGTATATGTGCTTGACAGAAATGCAATTAGATGATGATTAATAGGGAGGAGCAGCCTGGTGCAGGGAGGGCTGATTGTAGGTGTGTAGCCGACTAGATGACAGCCCTCTGATACACATGCAGTTCATACGCAGGAGGTTTGAGTCACTTCAGTATGTGTTTCTGCGAGCTTGTGTGTGTCTTTATCACTCTCTTGCTCAACCCCCCCTCCACCTCCTTGTTTTCTATAACATCTCTTCCGTATTAATAATGGAAAAGTAAAAGCTTCTGAGTGCCGCATTAGGTCTCTGAATGACTCACTGACAACTCTCATATGTTCCAACATTCTGGAGCTTGTGTTTGACTTGAAATTCATGTTTCCCTCCGCCCAGCTGACAGGAAGGAGTATGCAAATGCAGGCTGAGAAGTTCAACTTTATGCCTAATTTCTCCTACTTCATCTGAACAATACAGGCCATTCTGAATCCTGACTCAAAAGACTTACTGGATATCTCTGCTCAGGGACTTCCGATTTACTCTAATGCACTAAATGTCTCAGTCTGCTCCCCTTCCTGCTTTTGTTTCTCCTATTACTTCCAACAAATCTGATTTTGAAATTATAATGCGATTGAAGGGAAGAGAGAAAACCCCTTTAACCTTGTTTGGTTGCAACAAAAGCCCATACGATCCCTCTCAAAGGTCTGGTGGCCTGTGTCAACCCCCCCAGGAAAGGATCCCCAAGGATGTTGCGTATGTAAATGGGCTTCCCCCGTCACGTGCAGCCGGGCTAAACAGCTTATAAACCTTGCCAAGTGACCCTGTGCTCTTCTGAGCAAGGAGGAAGAACGATTCATTGAAAGCTTCAAGCTTCAAGTCAGTTGTGATCTGGAAGTGGTTTTACGTTTCCATTAAGTGCTCACACAAAGTAGTTTCGACATCGTGTCAGTACATTATTATTACACGGTGCACTCATATCTCAGTGGAGGGCAAATCATAAAAAAATCAATAGGAGCGTCTGACTGCCAAGCCACCGGCCCCCACTCCACTTTCATTAAGCAGCAGCTCATGCAGATAACGCTTTATTTATTTGTTTTGAAAGTGTTTCTAGACAATGAAAGTCAAGGGAATTATCTGCCTGATGTATCAATCACTACAGGTTACATGACTTGGTGTTAAGCGCGTTTTCTATGCCGCTTCTCAAGCCAACCATCCCTTGCTGCTTGTCTTGCAATCTTATCATTTCGCATCCTGTCAGTACTAAAGCATGCAGGTCTTCATCAAGTCACGGATCGACGATATTTGCCCAATCAATGCGCCAAATCAGTGCGCTTGAACCGTGCGCACGACCCGTGCCAAATTCTGTCTTGACCAGACAACTCCACATTCACACCACACGTGCGGCCATTTTTTGTTACCCATCCGAGCCATTGTGGCGTGCGCACACTTACGTTTACAACCCGTCCGCTGTGTTCTTCCACATGATATCAGAGAGAGAGAAAAGATGCGTCCTGCTCCACAATACACCTAACGCGAGATGGTATCTCATGAAATAAATCCTGTTCTCACAGCAGAGCGGGTTTTAGAGGGGGGGGGGGTAAACATCCCCTTCTGTCAAACTCTACTGCACCTCAAACATGGCAAAGTGTCTTTGTCTGCCGTTTGAACGCTGCGGGATGAATGAATTTAAAACCTCCGCATTACAAATATCACCACCAGCCGTGACTTACCCGGTGAATCGTGCGTGTGAATTCGCGGTAGTCCGGCGACTGTCCCGGTTGGACATTCAGGCCCCCCTCAGCTGTCTGTCCTGGTCCCGCAGCAGACTACCAGAGAACACGACGCCAATCAAATTGTCATGCCCCCGCCTCCTCACTTGACGTCACATGATTTCTTCCAATGGCGGCTGAGGTACATCCCTTGCTGAGTGAGTATAGTAGCATAATGTATGTTCACTTTTTTATCACAATGCCAATCTTGTCCATTCACAGAAATACATGTGAGCAGCGTTCATTAAAAATAAATGAGCCACAACGACATTTAAGCGAGCTAATACAGAAAAGTAGAGCCAATTATGATGAATATTTTCCTGATAATATCCTAATATTTTTCTTTGATTAAACTAATAGGCTACTGTAATGTCTTATTTATTACAGGCCTAAGTAGCTGATAACATTGTTTACTGGTTTTGATAACACATGGGCTGCTACAAGAAGCCGCATTTGGGCTACCCATTGATATTTACATTGCAAAAAGTCGGCTATATATAATATTTACAGTCTATGGCTATATCCCAATTCTCTCGACTTTCCAAAACAAAACAGTAGTTTACATTAAACAAAGTTAACTACAGTTAAGTACATTTCTTTTATAGGGGAAATAGGTAAAGTTTTGTTAGGCCAATATTTACGTCTAAACACTACACAGTATTACCAGACATTAATATTCTTTACTTTTCTTGTGAATTATTTATCTTGGTTATGCTTACTTTTATCAGCGGCCCCTAAACGTCGGTCAATAACCTACATTTTAACGCATGGGTGAATTGTGAATTGCATCAGTGCAAAATGTTGCTACCATAACCAAGTGACTTATAACTCACTGTGTCCCCTCTGACTATGAGTTTGAAGTATCTTGTTTTGATTGCAGACTGTTTGTCTGCAGTAGGCTTCCTCTAGCAGCTTGATTTGTGTCCTGTTGGCTGGTTCAGTGTCAGGTTGCGGCAGGCTAACCACTCGTGTAATTGCAAGTAATGTCCCTGGAAATGCTATTTCTCCCTGTATGTGTCACTTTAGGTAGGAAACTTATCCTCATGGCCACAAGAGAGCGCCATTAGCTACCAAATTGGCAGCTTCAAATGGACTTTTTTTTTTTTTTTTTTTTGCCATAGGCCATAAGGTCTGACTGGACCATTCATGGTTGTTAGGGTCAGTTTTAAGGCCCATTTCATGCACTTTCCCCATTATCCAGTCGATCTACATGAGCTTTTCTACAGTCATTGATTTCAGCAGGGAGGCTTAGGTGTGGCATTGCAAGTCCAAACTTGATCCATCATCAAGTTTGAAAATCAAGCAAACAAATATTGACAACTCAGCATGCTGGTGAAAACAAACCCTTTTTTTTTTTTTTTTTTTTTTTTTTTTTTTACAAATTCTTAGATCAAATACAAAAATGATACCTAGGTCCTATCAAACAGACGCAAAGAAAAGCATTTTTTTCAAACAATTAATCTTTAATAGGACAATTATGCAATACAATCAACACTCCCTCCCCCACTTTTCTTTTATATTTCACAGATGATACTCTTAATACTTTTTACAATTTAATGGCACATACTAGAAGCAGTTGTGACTGTAGCTGATGGTTAAAGGTGGAGGGGCTGATTTTGCTTGACGGCTCGTAGAGGTAAAAGGGGGATGAGTTGGGGTGGTCATTTTGAGTGGGACAGGCATTTAGTAACAGGCGTGGAGAGGTCAGAATGTCAGCGGTGAAGCAGAGCAAACAGTGATGATAGTATCACCACAATGATGGGTCATATCTGGCAAAAGAGGAGCAAAGGTCAAGGTCAGCTGATTGCAAAAGTTGCAGTACCATGGAGCGCTTCAATTATTTTCTTTTTTAACATACACACCTTGACTGTGGAAGCGTGTCTGTGCTTTCCTTCAACAGCAGCTCTGAGATCAGCGTGTCCAGAATCTCAGGACTGGACCTCTTTCCATACCTGAGACACACAAAAAGACAGACAGAAGGAAAAGGAATGATCATTACAGGGTCTGAGGGGAAATTAAAGAGGCGTTGCAGCAACTTGGACCTTTGGGTGTCAGATAAAAAAAGGGGACAAAACTGAACCTATTGCTATGCGTGTGCTTGTGTCATAAGTCCAATTATAAATTCAGCAAAGGCTGAACACAGTCAGAGCCAGTCCCAGCAGTGGCAGACAGGAGTTGCATCACAGGTGGTCGTATTTATTGTTCTGTCCCTCAGATGATAACGTGCTTGTCCCCATGGGTGTCTAGTCGCCTGCAGAGGCATGCGATTCCCCTGACATTCAGAAGGAAGCGGAAAAACTGCGGGTGATTTGACACAGCATGCTGGCTGTGGCAGTCATTTCTCCTCAGGTTTTTATTTCGTTTTTTTTTTTTTTTACATGATGTTAATGAACATCAAGTGTTCCCTACTTTGCAACAAGATGTAAGAAAATGTATCTGGCTTAAGACCATGCAGACAGAACTTAAAGTTCACGATGAGTTGATTTGTTTGATGTGGAAATGCTTTATTGCCAGACAACTACACAAAGGGTACAACGGTTTTCTCATATATATATATATATATATATATATATATATATATATATATATATATATATATATATATATATGTTGTTTTTGTCAAATGCCCATTTTTCTGTCACTGAAAATTCCATGAAAAAAACTGTGATCTGAACCTACAAACACATATTGTTTGTGTATACATCAAAATGTAGTTTTAGAATTGGACACTTTCCTGAATTTGCAGGAAAGTTGCAACAAATAAATGCCAACCCTGCCAAAATTAGAATCTTGTATTCCAGCATACAGAACCATGGTGCTGCCACAATATTCAGGAAAATTAAAGAAAATGGCAAAACAGTCAAAATAAATGAAGTCCCACTGAAACATACCTTATTTGAACTACCATCAGATAAAAAGCATGATTTATCTAACAGCAGTCACGATATATTCAGTCATTTAAAAAATGCACACACGGACGTAAATAGGCAATCATAGAGAATAATGGGAAACTAAAATCCAGTGGGACAATAATGCTAATGCAGAACCTAAGGAGAAAAATGATCCAAAAGTTGCCTACTCCTTTATTGTAATGTAAACCTGAAATCGGAAGTAGGCTATTGCTGCTGTTTATAAAATGTGTGTTCTGTCCCTGCAAAGAGAAGCAATTAGTCCGCCTACCTCTGTCTTGTGATGAGGTTGATGTAATGTCTCAGGGCTGAGTAGTACTTGGCCAGCTCTTCCGCCGGAGCGTCCTCGCCGGGGTTCTCCGGCTTCACAGGGTATCCGTCTGTCAGGGCGCCGAGGCAGAGAAGCGCCCACAGCAGGAAGCCCAGAGTCCCGAGCCAGCTCACCAAGTTAGGATGCATCTGACAGAGCAAAGAGCAAACTGTTGGTCCTTTTCACATCACAGTGTAAGAAGTTTCCCTATCCGTACTTATTAACATTTGTTGTGCCAAGACTGAACACTGTTCACTTTAATTCACGTTGCTGGACAAACAGGCAATACAGTTCGTCGAGTACAAAACCATGCAAACATTAATAATAGAGCTCAGGTAAGGACTTTTGTGGCAGCATATTATGCTAAAAAAAATCTCAAAAAGTAGTCTCGAGAGACTTAATAAAAGTTTGATAACTGCCTTTCAAGTTATTTTCCTATCAAATATCCTTAATTTACTTACATTTCCAAAAGGATCAGGGGGAGATTAGGTCGCAGTCCTGTGGCGTCTCGTCTGCTCTTCTGGGCTCTTGGTGCGCGGTGGGTTTTATACCTGTGTGCGCCTGAAGCACTGAAGAAACAACGCGTCAGAGCTGCGCTCCAGCTAGCGCAAGTCTCAGCCTTTCTTCATGTGAACGTCACTAGTGATGCTGTCATTAGTTTATTAAAAAAACAACTTCTTATTCCATGTATTCAAATACGTAAAACAAACAATGCAAACACAAAATAGGAGGCATTAATAAGTCTTGTTCCCTATGAGACCAAGAGGGATTAGAGATTAAGTCGTTTTTTGAGTTGTGTCAGGTACATTTCAGGATACTATGAATAAATATAAATGCATATTGCGGAAATAGTGTTAAAGAAAAGTCACTGTTGAGCGTGTAACACCATGATTCCCTCTGTAGATATTACTGAATTTAGTGTTTAATTAAAAAAAACATGACATTTTATATCTTCGAATGCTTGTGTTCACAAACAGGTGCACACATATGTTTTCCACAGACCCTCATAATAACTGTTGCATTCACACACAAACTGTCGTACAGATTGACACACACGCTGAGTGTGATGTTAGGAAGCATATAAGGCTTCTCTATGAGCAAGAAGGTGAGATATTATTCCACAATCAAGTTGTGATTCTTCTGCATCAATGAGATCAATAATCCCATGTGAAGTCGCAAAGAATGGCGGTAATGTGACACTGTGGGTGAACTTCAAATAAATCCCTGACAGACAGCCTCCTCACCAAAAGGAGCTCATGTGATGAGGATCAGGAATAAAAAAAAAAAAAGATCTCAAACAGACTCACGAAAAAAACATTTTTCTGACAAGCTGCTTGACTGAATCAGTCCACTAATTTTATTTCTGAGTTCACTCCATCATATAAAGAGTTATTGGGATATTCAATAGGAACAAAAAGGCTTAAATGTGAATATGCAGACGCGTCATTCAGAGCAGAGTCCCATCTCCAAGAAACCCACTTAATAAGAAAACCCAAATAGCGCTTCAGATGAATCTGTATCCCCAAGTGCTTCATTTACCTCCCATTCATAACGCTTTTGTATATGCCTGCTCGCAGCCATATAATCTACCAAGATCAGTTTTCTTCAGCAGAGCTGCTTTTTAAGTTGCGCAGAGGATGTGTTAAGAGCTCTTTGTATGACACAGGAAGCTGAGAGGAAGATGAGGAATGAGGCACAAGTTAGAGAGAGCGAGCGAGGAGCACAAAGTCATGACCGTATCGTGATGATGGCAACAAGGAATTCATACTTCTAGTCCTCCTCAGGGTATACACACACACACACACACACACACACACACTGCAATAAGTGTAACACCTTTTTTTAAGATACCAGTTTGAGCCTACATGTAAATATGTGAAATGCTTGGTACTGAGTTAAACAGATGCTTGAAGCATGTTGACAAAGTTGAGAGGTCAGTTAGTGTTTGTGGACTGACGAAAATTCAGTAGATTCAGTGTAATCATTTAGCATTTCAGCTCCAGTGTCTTAGACACAGCTGACATTTGATGAAATGTTCCTCCTCTGAGTGCACCGCTCATTGATCTTTGAAGCAGACTGGCTAAAAATAGAAGAGTGCATGTTGGATGATACTCATGTCAGCTAAGAGCTTAAATCACTTCTAGTTTGGAGTAGGAAGCTGCTTTTAGACACAGCCATGTATAAGCTAAATGCTACTAATTAGCATGAAATGGCTTTGCAAAGATGCAGATGAGCTGGCGTGGTATAAACCTAACCATGTTCACAATGTTACTGTAACATGCTAACTTATAGACAGCTAAGACTGGAACAGGTCAAATAAAAAAGTCACCTGCTGCTGATGGCTTAGCTGAAGGTGATCACCACAGATAATCAAATTGTAATCAAAGGGGAACATGGAAGTGGGTTGAGAGATTAAACTTCCACTGTAGCAGTAGACATGTTGGGTTCAAATGCGAAGCCAATGTCGAAGTGCCATGAAGTTCCATCCTTTCTAATCACTTAAGAAATTGACCGCAATTCTCAGTAGATTTATGAACTTATTTAACTTTGCCAAATAGGTTTATTGTCACAAACATTAGTATAGTGTCTTCTTCAATACAGCATCATGATTCATTTTTAGATTATGGTTCGACTTAGTTGAAAAAAATCCCGGTACTCTCCTGCATATAGTTACTTGTGATTGACAAAGGGACACCATGGCAACATGTCAACCAATACAGAAATGCAGCAATGCATTTACGTTCAAATATGGTTAATAAACAGTGGGTGTGGTCATGGAAACACGTATCCGTTGAATGTTACCTCACTGTTGTTGAAGTCCTTTCTGGTCACAGTAAACAACATACTTCCAGTTAAATGGTGCGCCATTGACTCAAGCAGCCTCACCAAACTGACACTAATCTCCAGTTTTCTCTCGCAGCCCTTGGTGGCCCTGAATTTCAACCTTAGGTGTAATAAAAATTGTGACAACAAAGTGGATGGATTCCAAAGCAAAATATGCCTGTCAAACAGGGGATTAAAGAACACATACAGATAAATCCATGTCTACAGGGATGTGTATTAGCTTTTGAAACAGAATGTATCCATGCCACTAGCAGTCCAACAGAGATTAAACAGCCAGAAAGAGAAGCTTAAGAAATAGTTCAACTTCAGCAAAACAAATTATAAACACTAACAACACTCTACTTAGAGATACCGATGAGCTTATAACGGAAATATCAGTTTAAATATGAGTAATGTTTTATAGAAACATGTAACAAACCTCAAGGTGGGTTTAATAGATGATATGTGTTGATGAGCCCATTTTTCTGTCACTGAAATTCCATGAAAAAAAACTGTGATCTGAACCAACAAACACATATTGTTTGTGTATACATCTAAAAAAAAAAATAGATGCTGTCTGCCCAAACGGACCCCCTGGGAGGATGCAACCTGTGTTGCACCGGCCAACAAATGCAACAATAACATGATGGAGGATACTGTGGTTGGAGATGCTTTTATGTTGTCCTGTGTTTCCTGTTCAAAATGGGATTGGAGATGGGATGTGCCAGTCTTTGCGATGTGCAGTCACGTTTAAGATAATGTTACAAGCCGTGAAAGGTTTTTTAAAATTGGGTCGTAAGGGATGGTGTATTGGCTCATTAGTTCCACCAAACGATGCTAACGTATGTCTTGAACAATCATCGTAGATTATGCTTCTCAAGCCTCCTCTTGTGCTGTGATAAAGTCCCCTAAACACCATTCTATGGCGAAATATTGCCACTGGTTCTTGCAGCACGGACAAAAGAAAAAGGGGAGGAGTCCTCTGTCTGCTCTTCAAACTATGAAAAGTTCCATGAGATACATGGATGGATCTGTCTTCACTAAAATTAACTCTGTATATTTGGAGTAAATCCTCCATACACTGACCTGCTCACTGTAGTAATCTACAGCTGAAAATAGTCCCAAAGAATTACATAATGTACTGTACATTTATGACCTGTTTGAAGACAAGAATTAGTTTACAATAAGGAAACAACAACCTAATAAATATATACAAATAATACAAATAAATTGTTATCAACAAAATAAATGTAGGACCAAGTAGCTTGGAGATGTTTTACTGAAAACACTTTCTTTGTTTGCAGCTTTGTAATCAGCTAACCTATCACTGTTATTATAATTGTGTGGACAAACAGGTCAGATTTTGGAAGTAGTCTGTTGGATATTTTGGCAGGATAAAAGATGAATTGGCAGCAGCTCAAAGGGAGACAAATGGCAACGTGACAGGGCCAGTTGGGTTTAGTGGAGTTAAGTCATCAATTTAGATCCACAGCAGCACTAATAATACCAAGGCTCTTAGAAAGATAGCCATACCAATCATCTCCAATAGAGTTTTTTATCCTTATAAATTAAATATAATAATCACATTTATTGGAACATGTATCTAAGCTTTAAATGTTACTTAATGTTAATACTGTGTGGCAGAATTTCTTGGAGCTGGGCTTGTCGTTATCAGAAATCACGTCTGTGGATCGAGAGTCCTTTATAGCGCAAGCTGTTTAAATGCAAATTTGTTTTCCCCTCCTCTCATGTGCTTCCTTTGGACAATAAATTCTCTCCCTAGATTTGTTGAGATGAAAAAGCCTGTAATTTTCCGCTGCTGTGAATCACACTTTTTAAATTTGCTGTGCGCACAACTGTTAAAAAAAAACCTAAAAAACTAAAAAGAACATGACATGCAGGCTGCCTGTGACTTCTCATTTTAGGTAGAGGCAGAGGCAAACGGAGAGAGAGGACATACGGGAAAGGGTTGTATCTAGTAGCGCTTTAGTGCTTTTTCTTACACCTCTTTTACACACAAGTCTGACATCGTAATTGGTGCTTGTGTCTAAACTATTGTGCTATGGTGACAATCTGTTACTCCTGATAAGCAAACACTACTATTAGTATAGGGCAATGGCCCCTTTTAGCTTACAAGGTCTGCAGAATGAAAACTGCAGGTGATATGAGCAAAGAGGTTTTAATATTGGGTAAATAAAGGAGGTTAAAGGGACATTTTTTTTACATTAAGTATTTTAACTAAAATGAGGCAAACACTTAATTTGCTCAGAATTCAATCAAAACGACATATTTTAGATTGCATTATGGATTCAATGTCATTTACTTTGCCTTAACAATAATTTGCTTGTTTTCACACGAATGGTCAAAGTGTCATTTTTGTCATTCACTTCTCAAAGCAGTTAGCTATCAACTCTTCATACAAGCATGTCCCCTGATTGTTCTTCCTCCCTTTTCTCTGACATAACTTGACAGCCTTCAGCTGCAATTATTCAGCCGTATAAAATCTCACAGAACACAAGCTTTTTCTCCACTTTCATTTCACAGTAAGTACAATACTGACAACTGCTCAATGAAGAAATGATGTCCTTTGTTGTTCTCTCATTTGTTCTGCTATTGCTCCAATTAAACCCCGACCGCTTCAAGAGTCGCCCTTATCTATAGTCTCAGTGTTTTAATGTACCTGTCTTTACCTCTCTTTTCCATTTTCTTTGTCTTCACACACACACACACACACACACACACACACACACACA